ATCTGGGCTACTGGAAGTTGGGTCTGTCTGGTCATTTGGGGAAGTTTAACTCTCCCCTCAAGACCCCATTACGAGGTACCTTGGCTTATTCCAGGCCCACAGGAACCTCAGTGTATAAAAGCGGCTGTGATCCCGACGCACAGCGTGAGGGGGGGAACCCACGGCTGCTGTGTACTGATGGAAATTCCTCACCCTACAGATGCTTTCCCACGTTCTGTCAGTTCCAAGAGAAATTTTGTTCTCACAACTTCCCTTTTTGTCCTATACGAGATTGGCCTCAGACGTTCAGCATTGGGATTTCGGGGTGAAACAGGACTAGGTAGGTATTGTTTCAATTAAATTATGTAAGGAGTTAACCTGTGGTCCAGTACTGTTTTGTATACTTTCCCTGAGGCTTTGAAAGATTGTCATTTCCAATCTTCCATTTCTGAAAGGGTCCCAGGCAGCTGTCTTCCTTCCTTGTGAATTCTCTAATGTGATCTAGCATTCTTAACCCTTTCTAGTTCTTTTTCATGCTATGAGGTGTCTGTTGTGGGAAATTGTAAATAAAGTCAGCTGTGTTAAATATTCACGGAATCGATTTTCACTTGTTTAAAGTCTTCAGTGATTTATCTTCAGGGAGAGTTAATATGGCAGCTATTCTGCATTAGGTTTCTCTCACCAACATTTAATTGATGCACATATTTCATGAGGATTATTGCAGGTTTATGGCTGATGTGTTTGGAGTTTGTGCTGATAATTCAGAGGCATGAGGTCTCCAAATCTCTTGTTTCCATTTTAATTGTGTGTCCTTTAAGCTAACAAGTCTGAGAAGGACTGTTAAGTTTAATAGGCCTGATGCATATCTGGGGATAATTTATCTGTGGATGTTATTATATGAATTTATTTTTTAATGATGGCACAAATATTGAGTATATCCTTTTAAAAATTGATATATAAATTTATATGATTTATATTATTGTGGTGGTATTAGTGCCTGCTTTATTTCTCTACTGAGGTACTTGGAACATCTGAAGTTGTGTGAACCGCAGCAGTCTTATTGCTTTTTAAAGGAGGTTAATTGAGATTGTTATTCTTTTCTAGATGCTTCAGACCACTGGGTACAGTGTCCTAACTGTTCAGCTTCCATTGAAATCTCACACATTATGGCACTGTTATTAGTCTATAAAGAAAAATCTGAGGTTGGGTAATTTTATAAAGAAGAAAAATTAATTTAGCTCAGCTCTGGATGTTCAAGGGTATGGTGCCAGCTTTGGCTTTGCTCTGGTCCTCACCTCATGTCAGATCACAATGGCAGTAGCATGTGTGAGGGAGAGGTCCCCTGGCACAGCAGAAAGCCAAGCCAGAATCAAGGGTTGGGAGGGAGGGAGGAGTGGAGATTCACCAGATTGGACAGGGAGGAATGGAAGGTAAAGGAAGGGGGGTGGGAATGGGAAAGACAGCAGAATGAATCGGACATAGCTTTCTGATTCATTTGTATATGTATACTGTATTCATTTGTATATGTTCATATACAAATACACAGTGTAACTCCACATCATGCACAGCCACAAGAGTGGGAAATTATACTCCATGTATGTACAATAGGTCAAAATACATTCTACCATCGTGTATAACTAAAAATTTTAAAAAATTAAAAAGAAGAAAAAAATTTAACTTGTTCTTGTTCAACTCGGGGTCCCATGAAATCCACCTTAATTCCCTTCTGAGGGCAGTATCCCTGATGACCTAACAGCCTCCCATCAGATCCCACCTCTTAAAGGTCCATGCCACGTCCCAGCATTGCCTGAGAACCAAGCTTCCGACATGTGACCCCTTTAGAGATAACCACACCCAAATCATACGTGGCGCTTAGCAGGTATTGACATTTGTACTGAAATGACAAATAAATGTCCACCCAACAGAAGGCTTTTTGTTGAGTGACTAAATGGCTGTCCCTACAGTGGTGGACCTCGAAGGAGGGGGGAGGATTTGCTGAGCAGTCACAGTCCTTAATAAGTATTTGTTGAATGAATGAAAAGTGGGAAAAGAGATATGTGGATAGAAAAGGACAGTAAAAACTGCAGAAGCTAGAAAACAGAAGGCAAGGCTGAGGCCCTAGGGTATTGGAGTTGACACAGACGACAGGATATTCTGGAAGGAGCCCCAGACTGGAAGTTAACACACTTGGTTCTTTGTCACTTCCTGAGAATGTGACCTGGGTGACTCAGTGAACTTGAGGGCTTTGGTTTTCTCATCTTCTGTGCTGTCCCCAAAGAGTCATTATGAGGCTCACATGAGAAAATTTGTGCAAAGAGTTTTGCAAACTGAAGTCTTGTTACAGATATTCAGTGGTTGGAGCCTTGATGGAAGATGAGAAGATGGAAGATTCAGTCATCCCACTGACACTGGGGCATCTGCAGTGACACATGCACTGTAACACATAGTGGCACTTGGGTGGTGGGTAAAACACAGATCTGGGTTTCTTCTCATGGGAGAGAAAGATATTAATCAAATCATCTCTCAAATTTAGAATTACAAACTGTTCTAAGCACTGCCAAGTACAGGTTACGAGAAGCCCACTTTAGTCTGGGTGGGGATGGAACTCAGTTGTTGGGTTTGAAGCTTATCCAGCAGACTGTGTAGTCTTTAAAGGTTCTTGGTAGGGAATGACTTAAAGTCAGTATTGCTTTAGGAAGATTAATCTACTAGAATAGACTTCTGAAGGTTTGGAGTCTGGGAAAATAGTTAAACAAAGTTACTGTTATATAAAACACTTGGAATTACCTTACTGTTCTACAGGTTGATTATCTCTTATCTGAAATGCTTAGGATTAGAAGTATTTCATATTTTGAAGTTTTTTTTAAAATTTTGGAATATTTGCATAGACTTTCAGTTGAGCAGGCCTAATCCAAAAAATCCAACATCTGAACTGCACCAAATTCAATACTTTTTTGAATATCATGGTTAAATCTGTACTCTTCAGTTTAGGAAGGGATGTTCAACCTGTAATATTTTAACTACTTAATGTTGGTACTGCCATGTGAGGTTTTTTGGAGGTCTTATATTTATGACTTCATTTGGTATATTATTAAACATCTATTTTCAGTCAATCATGAAGTTGTTTAGCAACTTCTTACCTAGGTCCCTCTATGTGCCAGGGACATTGTTCTTGGTGCTTTGTACATATTAGCCCTCCACAAACACATGAGGGTTAAAACCGTCTTCTACTAATTTTACAGATGAGGAAACGGAACTTGCCAGGGCAGACAGCTGGTAAGTGGGACCTGGCCCCAGGCTACAGCTCCAGTGAGTGTTCTTCATCACTGCATTGTCAAGTGTTCATTCAGAGACAAAGAATGTAACATTTTGTAGGTACAGATGAAGGTGCCAGTAAAACAATCTTCAAATAACCACTGTGAACCCCTTGGTCTCAGTATAGATTAGTCTTCCTGTTTTTAAAAATAAGTTTTTATTAATTAAAAAATTAGGGTAAAAAACTATTTTAAGGTAAAATATTATTAAACATTGTATTGAATTTTGCAACTAAGAGTTGTAAAAGTTTGGTGTCCTTGACCCTGCTTTCTAGCCTGCATGACCCCCCTCCTTTTTTCCTTTGTTTCATAACCAGAATAAGTATCAGCAGAGTCAGTGAGGGTCTAAATCTGTTCACAGGATTAGATCTCATGTGTGCATCTACCTTTCACTGCCTGGGAACACATCAGTTCTGTATCAGCTGTGAATTTTAATGTAGGGCGGGAGAATCTTTGGGCACATGGTATCTGTGATGTGTACCTAAACTGACTTCTTAAGTTCTCCAGTGGGGATGCAAATGAAGGCAAGTCACTTCTATAGGACCTTGGTGCTAATTATTAGCAAAGCCAGAACCACCACCCAGTGTTCCTCTACTGCCTAGTTGGGCTTTTCATAGTTACTCTTTGTGTGTGTTAGCTACTGGGGATTGAACCCAGGACGTCATGCATGCTAGGAAGTGTTTTACTGCTGTGACACATCTTTAGCCCTTATATATGTGTGTGTGTGTATTGTACTGCATGTTATTTCCATTCTGTTGCATTTGTGCAATCTGACAGTGAAATTTTATATTAATTCAACTAAGTTTCAATGCTCTCAAGTGACAGTTGCAAATAAGTCTTTGTTCAGATTATTTCAATGAACTACTAATAATATTCTTAAAACATTTTTTCCTATGATTTTAGTTTTTGTCAACCCCAGAATGCTTTGTGAAATGAGTCTTCGTGTGTTAATTTCCCTCATCACACCATTATATTTTTCATTTGTTGGCTTATTTTTTTAACACTAAATTAAAACTTTAATCCTAAATAATGGGCTAATGTGGATAAGCTACAGAAAGTCTTAAATTCAGAATTAAACTAAATCCTTTGCTTTGGATTAGTTTGGTTTATGGCTTAACATCACCAACATTTTTTTTAACAGAAAATGTCTTGCAGTATCTCATAAGGGACTTTTTATATATTACTTTGAGATTCTGCTTTTTGTTTTTTAACCTTTGGGATCTGCCAGGAAAAATGGTGCATTCTGTCTATTGTAGCTGAGCTTACCCCCGAGGGCTCTGTTGTAATTTGGTTAATGCTGTTAACTGCTGAAAAATACATTCTCTGCAAGAGTCAGCAGTGAATATAATGTTACTAAGAAAGAGACATAAGCTTGCAATTTACCAAATTGTTTATTTTCTTTATTTGGTTAGAATCTTTTTCTGGACTCCTTATTCTTTTTGTGGTTGGAGTGAATCTTACCATGCATTGTATTTCCCTGTTTTATCACCTACCATTTATATATCAGTAACAGAGCTAGAAGGCCAGAGTCTCTTTTTTTTTATTTTTTATTTATTTTTTTATTGGTTGTTCACAACATTACAAAGCTCTTGACATATCATATTTCATACATTAGATTGAAGTGGGTTATGAACTCCCAATTTTACCCCAAATGCAGATTGCAGAGTCTCTTGAATAATCTGTAGGGAATTTTATGTTTACATTACGAGTTATCTTATCTGGGATCCTCAACCACTATCTAGTTGGTTATTTAAGGTGGGGAAATGTTAAAAAAAAGTTTTATATTCATATCCAAAACATTTTATTTTAAATTCAAAACATGTACTTGCTGATTTCTGATATAGGTGACAAGTAATTTCTGATACAGGGCCAAAGCCTAATCTACACCTGGGTGCACGGTCTGCAAGATTTCAGTTTGGGTTGCTCTAAAGTGCTACATCTTTGATATACTTGTGAAATATCTCGTTTGCAGAATGCTTCTAGATTTCCATGATTTGCATTCCAGTCCCTTGTCATTTCTGCTGCACTCTGAAAATAACAACAGTTAATTTAGCGCCATCAATTTTGTTAGATTTTCCCAAATCATTCAAGTATTCAAGTTTCATTTACATAGAAACATTAATTATTCTGAACTCACATTTTACATGTTTATGTAAAATTTACTGTGTTTATGTACAATTAATGTACAAGAACAACCGACATAGGGCTGGGGATATAGCTCAGTTGGTAACGTGCTTTGCCTTGCATGCACAAGGCCCTGCTTTCAATCCCTAGTACCTATACCCAAAAAAAAAAGAAAAAAAAAAAAAAGAACAACTGACATAAACTCATTAGGAATAAACACACCTGACTTAGGGAAGGACACACCTTGATCAGTGGGAGCACATCCTTGGTTCTCCGCCTGTATGTTGTGAAGGTCGAGTCTTTCCTATTTCCATTCTGTCACGGACCTGTACTTTTATAAATGAAAATAAATAAATGAGACAAAATGCAACCTTAGTTTTTAAGCTTAGTTTCAGAAACAACAGAAATAAAATTATATTTTAGTAAGTATAGTTAGAACCAATAAAAGAAAACAGTGTTTTAAAATCTATATGTGTTCTTTGAAAGCATGCATATGGAGGCAGTTTACAGAAAAATCTCTATTACTCTACCTATTTTTTTCCAATCATAACTAAAAAAAATTATAAGTGAAATGCTAATTCTCCACATTTAATACCTCTGTGTATACTTTGAACAAACTTCTTAAATATCAATATTTAAGGTTTCTGATGTCACAAATTAATTTACTTCTTCCATGTTAACCTGTCTGCTATAGGCTGGGTTAGTGACAGCTGGTTTGGGGCCCAACTACAATATATTTTAAACTGTTAATGCTTTTGTTGTATTTATTTTTTACTTTTTGTAACTGGGATTGAACCCAGGGATATTTAACCACTTGGCTATATCCCTAGCCCTGTTTGTTTTATTTTGAGACTGGGTCTTGCTGAGATGCTTAGGGCCTCACTGAGTTCCTGAGACTGGCTTTATACTTGCAATCCTCCTGCCTCACTCTCCTGAGCTGCCACCATGCCTGGCCTGGTTTTGTTTTAATAACACTCAAGGTAGAAGAACTGATCTTACAATGGATGTTGATGTCAGGGGGGGAAAAAAAAGACATTTTTAAAGAAAGCAGTTTGAGAAATCTCAGGATATTCATTTAAAAAAATATTTTTTATTTAGTTGTAGTTGGACACAGTACCTTTATTTTATTTATTTATTTTTTTATGTGGTGCTAAGGATCAACCCCAGTGCCTCACACGTGGTAGGCAAGAGCTCTACCAATGAGCCCCAGCCCCAGCCCAGGATATTCATTTTTAATTTTTCCCCAGAATGATGCAAGTGATGCTGTAGCATCAGAATTCATTTTTGATTTTTCCTGTCAGTTCCAGTAATGTCTAAATTTATGGTTAAATTTAAATCATCTCTCAGTGTAAGAAATGGTTCTCAGTTTTAACACTTTAAATTACACTGACAGATGACCCTCTTAAATTATCCCTTATGGTCATGTGGTTCTTGATGAGGAGATACCTGTGCCACATTCTGGTTACCTTACAAGGTCAGTTGACTGGATTGGTCACTGATGTGAGTCTGCTGTTCTGCTGTTCATGGATGTCACAGCCATGTCCAGTTGCTCTATGTGCTTTCAAATGCCCATCCTCCATTTCTGGATTTCCTTCATTGGCAACTCCTAGTTTTCGGACTGGCACCCGTCTGTGGACCACAGTTGGGGTAGTCCTGTGCTCAGGTGGAGTCTTCTACTGGTTGTGAGCTGCTGTTGTGCTCAAACATCATTGCTGTGTTCAATACAGGGTGTAGGATGTGCTGGTTAATCAGGCAGAGTGGTTAAACATAGATCAGTTAAGAAATTCTCTTTTATGTACTCACCCTAAGACGGTTCATAGCCTTCATGAGATTCCTTGACTTGGAACCACGGTACCAGATTTTGTATTTATTTTATGTGTAATGATTGTATTATGCGTCAATTTTCTTGTTCTTTTGTTGCAGTGCTGGGGATGAAACCCCGAGTCTCACCCATGCTAGAGGAGCACTCTACCATGCAGCTACATCCCCACCCCTTTTTTATTATGAGACAGGGTCTCACTACATTGAACCAAGATGGCCTTGAACTTGTGATCTTTCTGCTTCAACCTGAGTAGCAGGGATTATAGATGTGCCCCTAATAATGTGTTATGTTTCTCTTGATCCTCTGTTGTGAAGATAAGGAGCATGTGTTCTCCCATCTTCAAATTACCCATTGGGCTTGGCATGTAGCTGCTTCTATTGCTGACATAATGAATATACCTGGAACGGAGCCATTTCATTGGAGACATTTTTTAGAGCCAGGTTCTCCAACATTAGTTTCCTGCTTAAGGAACCAACATACTCTTGAATTCTCAAGGTGAGGAATCTGTAGTTGTCTCTTAAGACATCTCAGCCCTTGGTTCCTCTTCCTTTGCTTGGGTCCAGAAGAATTTATTTTCACTGCCAATGAACCATACCCAGGAAAGAAAGATCAAATTGGTATTTTAGCCTCCTATTTTTTTTTTTTACTTTCAATCTTTAAAAAAATATTTTAAACTTATCTTTTAAAAATTTAAACATCCTTATGAGAACAAGGACTACTTGGGATAGCTGTGATTTTTCTTTTATTAGTTCGTAGTTCATAGAAGCAAATTTTTCACATAAGCAAATGAAATTTTAGCCACAATTGAAACTGATAATCGTGAAAGTTATTAGTAGAATCTTTGACATTTGAAAAAGGGGTGGAATGTCCTTATATTGGTAATAACTACAGTCAGTATCATTGAAAAAATGACAGCGTGGCATCTTTTGCTGGACTGACTTCCCCCACCCCACATTAGGTGAAAGAAAAGCAGTAGTAAATTTCAAGCCCTTTTGAAGGGAAGCCATTTGGACACAACCATACCAGCTCCTTCACATCCTTCATTTCCAACTAAAGATGTGGGCAGACCATGCTCTCCTACTGTATGAAGTGCAGAGTCCTGTACTAGGCATTGGGTTGTGGTCTGCCAACCATACTTAGTCCCTCTTCTTGGCATGTTCCATTCTAACAGGGGAGACCAAGTGCCTTACAAATTTTGAATTAGAAGCAATGGTAGATTCCATGAAGATAAATTACAGGGTGCCAAGAGAATGTAAAACAGGAACTTACCTAGTCCCCCAGGTAGCAGATGGAGTGATATTTAAGATGAAACCTGAGTAAATATTGAGGAGTAGAAGTTAGGCTGAAGTGTCTGTGTAGGGGCCAGTGGGTTAGGGTGGGAAGACAGGACAGAGGGCACAGTTTGCATCAAGTCGCTGAAGTGATGAACAAGGGGTAGTGATGCTGGAGGGGGTGTTGGAACAGCAGATAGGAAGGAGCCAGGGGTCCAGGCCATGACCATGATGTTGACTTTTATTTAAATGCAATTGGAAACTGCTGAAGGGTTAGACATAGAGGAGAGACGTGGGTATATGTAAGTTTTATTAGGCTTCTTCTGGGTCACTGTGGCTACAGGTCCTAATGCAGTCTTCCAAAATGGTACTCACTTCAGACTGTCAGCTAAATCTTTTATTGAGTTGTGCATAGTGTGGTTCTTTGTTCGTCTCATCATTCTGTTTATTTCACACGGCTCAGAGTTTGCCATTATACCTTTTTCTGCTTTCTAAGGAGACTGTACATTGATTAAGATTTTTTGGGATTACTGTTTTATTTATTTTTTTGATGATGTCTTCTATTATCTTTGCAAGAAGCCATGGAAGAAAACAATATATGGGTGTTCCAGTCTTGCCAAATGGTCTTTGGCAAGGGCAAATTAATTTACTTCTTCCATTGAACCTAGGGCCTCCACAGTCCAGGGTCTGGCTCTCAGCCCTGATAGCCTGGAAAAGCCAGTACTTCTCTTACCATGTCTGTTAAGTGACTGGACACTGGGACTTAGGTTCTTGTTAATCCACATCACGAGGGACTCGTGTGAACTAAAAGGCCAGGTAATGTTAAAGTGAAGATTAGAGCGGAGAAGGGCACCGACCTGAGTTCTAGAGGCAGACCTACCCAGGAAGCCAGAAGGGAATCTGACCTGAGGAGCTGGTGCAGTCTTCACATGGGCCAGCTCTGCAGTCCTGCCGAGGGGACCGGATGGTCAGTTGGCTGGACCTTGTTACACACTCTAAGTGGGCTTCATATTTCTTGGCCCATACATCTCCCTTGTCTTGAAAAAATTTTTTTTAAAAATTATTTTTGACTTCTTATTTTGAAATGATTTTAGGTTTTCCAGAAAAGAAAAGAAAAAAAATACAAGGAATTCTTCTGTATTTTTCACCCCAATTTTTTAAATGTTAACATCTTTCATAATCATTGAACAGGAATTAAAAGTTGATATAATAGTAACATCTGTAGACTGTCTTTACATTGTGCCAGGTGATAAACCATTAATGTTCTTTTTCTGGTCTAGGATCCCATCCAGGACTTCGCTTTGCCTTTTCCTGGTTCCCTGATCTCCCTTCAGGGAAAATGATGCCTCCTCCTTCCTCTCTCGTAGTCTGAGGCTCCTGAATTATGCAGCAATTTTTTCTTTTCTTTCTTCTTTTTTTTTTTTTTAGTTGTAGATAGACACAATACCTTTACTTTATTTATTTATTTTTATGTGCTGCTGAGGATTCAACCCAGGGCCTCACGCGTACTTGGTAAGTGCTCCACCACTGAGCCACAACCCCAGCCCTGGGCCAGTTGTTTTGTAGAAGGCCCCTCATTATGAACTCTCTTGTAGTTTCCTCACAGTGAGCGAAGATGTTCCGTGTTTATTATGAATATTGTAGAAGTGATGCTTCGTGCTTCTCAGAGCAGGTCAGCCCTTCTGTCTTTAAACATAGTTTACTCATTCTTCCTTCCCAGTGGGTAGAAGTACCTAAGCTCAAATTCCTCACACCTGAGGTCATATTGACCTCTGAGACTCAGTATGGGGCCACCAGAGCATGAGGGAGTTGAAAGCAAGAATGGCCCTTATTTTAAGCAGTCCCTGTGCCCGTATACTTGTAAATGGAAAGACAGGAGTTGAGGCCACACAGCCATGTAAGATTGGCATCTGAATGGTAGAGGATAATGCTTCTTTTATTATGTATTCATTGTCAAAATTCTCATAGAGATGGGACCAGAGAAAGTTTCTACATTGCAGACAGACCCTAGGAAAAAGTGTCCCTGGGCCCCAGCTAGAAAGTCTTTGCAAGACTTTGCCCATCTCACTGATGTGAGGTGGTGCCATCTTGCTAGGAGACTTGGAAGTTCCCTGACCTTGAACTGATAACTTAGGGTTGGCATTTCTCCCCATGACTTATCCCACCTATTATGAGTGGAATTTTCATTCAGAGCAAACTCATTTTGTCTCAGGACTGTCTTAGATTACTAAAACATATAAAACCTATCAACATTTTTTTTTCTTAACAAAGTTCATTCTTCATTCTTTCCTCACTCTGCCTATTTCTAGTTCTTATCTTTGTTTTTCGACCTACATTAATATTTTCTTTTTGGAATACACCCTAGTAAAACAGTATAAAAATAAATCAGCCAAATTCTAGCATAAATACAGTGAAAGGCAGTAGTTGAAATGATCACAGTTTGGAGAGTGTTCGGTGAAGGCCTTTTGGAGAAAGCTCTGTGCACACAAAGCTGCTGCTTTGAAATAACTCATGTTTCTTTCCCACCTCTGAATCGTCCTTTTTCCAGTTCTCCTTTTTGGAAGCTTGATTATGCAGAGCTTTGACAACAACTTAGGAAAATGAAATCGCTACCCACCGAGTGACATTTGCTTGAAGATCATTCGTTTGACTCAAAGGTGGCCATTTCTGAGATGGGTGGCAGGAGGAGGTGTGTGCCTGGGTTTAAAGCAAGGAGTCCTCGGCCATTTGATTGTGGGGCTGCGGGAAGCCTCCACCGGATGAGACTTCTTTGAGTGGATTTTGTTTCTTCTCTTTCACACAGAGTTACCTGTGATGCTTGGATTTCTCTGTACCTTGGCCTGAGCTGTACCTGACCTCTATCTTTGTCCTTCTCTTCCCTTTATTTTGGCCTCATATTCATTTCCTCTGTCAGAGAGATAAGTTTTGATTCTAAGTGTCAACTCCAGCAGCCTTAAATAACAAAGGGGATCTCCTGGCTCACCATACGAGACAGTAGAAATTAGGAGTTCAGTTTAGGTTTGATCAGGGTGTGGGTTCAATTTCTCACCAGAGTTTTAGGCTGGTGCTGCATAAGCTGAGGGAAGGAGCTTTATTTTTTTCTCAATTTCTAAACCAATGCAGATCCATACTTTTATAAACTATAATAGAAATGAAATACTAGCAAAACAAAATTTAAAAAGACAGGCACAATAACTCATGAAATAACTCATGTTTCTTTCCCACCTCTGAGTCATCATTTTTCCAGTTCTTCTTTTTGGAAGCTTGATTATGCTTTGATTTGACAACAACTTAGGAAAATGAAATCACTACTTGCAGTTTTATTTCCAAGATGTGAAAATATTAATTAGAAAATTACAGAAACAAACAATGCATATGTTTAAAATTTGTGTTGTTATGAGTGGTGAGAAAAAAATCTTGGGCAGTTGCCTTTGGTCCTGCCCAGGATGTGAATCATCTCTTTATCTAGTGCCTCCACACTGTATATGCTAGTCACTCGTTAGTCACTTAGTAGCCTTTTTGTTATCACATTGGCTGATGTTACCATATGGCACTGCTTTTGTTCAAATAATCCTATTTTTACTTAAAAATGGCCTCAATGTAAGAGAGGAATGATGCAATTCAGATATGCTAAGGAGAACCTATAAAGTGGTTCCTTTAAGTGAAAAAGTGAAACTTTATCACGGGTATGTATATTATAGGAAAAAAATAATATGTAAATAATATATAGAGAGTTCAGTACTTTTGTGGATAAGAGGGGCAGTATTATAGAAGCCCAGTATATCTTTTCTTTTGGGAACTGGGATTGAACACAGGGGTGCTTTACCACTGAGCTACATTCCAGCCCTTTTGATTTTTTAATTTGAAGCAGCCTTACCAAGTGGCTGAAGGTCTCATTAAATTGTTGAGGCTGGCCTTGAAATTGTCATCCTCTGCCTCCCAAGTCGCTAGGATTACAGGTGTGCGCCACTTAGCCTATCTAGACAGGCTTTTCTCAATTCTGTCCTAACCTTATCGCAGACTCTTGAGAAGCACTGCTTTGGCACCGGCCTCTCCTGCCAATGTTTATTCACTGTGCTCCTCCATGTGGCAAAACGATTGCCATCCTCATTTAGATGATGGATGCCTTCATTCCCATCTAGGGAAACAGTTTGTTTTTTTTTTTAAGCTATTGTTCCAAAGGTCGAGCCTTATACTCTTTGGATGAACTTGGAGCTGGTCAGGGAGATGAAGAGGAATGGCTTTGTCTCTTATTTAGATTGTGTTCCATTTCTTGGATCTCTGTTAGATGGAACTTGGTCCTGGGGGTGAGGGTGGGGGTCGGGCAGCCTCACTTTCACTGCCTTGTGATGCTGGGGAGGCACCTTCATTACTAACAGCTGCCATTACATTTAGTCTGTGATATAACAAAAAGTAAATGTTTGGTCTTTACCTTAGGTTCCTAGCATGGAGCTGCTGAAATCCTCAGAATTTCCTGAGTGGCAGAACCTCAGGAGAGGAAAGGGGTCTGATGATTAATCAGTCGTGCTTACATGATGGAACTTCCATATAATGCCTCTGGACAACGGGGTCTGGAGGGCTTGTGGGTTAGTAAGGCCTGGAAGCTCTGTACACACCCCTCCTGCTCTACGTCTTTCTGTTCCTAATTGTATCCTTTATGACAAAGCAACGGACCAAGGGTTCTGCTTTCCTGGGTTCTGTGAGCCATTCTGGTGAATTACTGAGCCTGGAGGGATATTATGTGGGAACCCCAATTTGCAGCCACGTCAGACAGAAGGGTATATAATTTAGGGATTGGCATCTGAAAGAGAGCAGTGCCTGTAGCCTATGACTGAGTGCCTGTAGCCTATGACTCTGTGGGTGGCTGGTGTCAGAATGGGATTGGGTTGTGGGACACATAGGTTCTGTTGGAGAACTGCAGAAGCAAAGATAGGCCTTGTAACATCCCTGACAGTCCTTATAACATGCTACTGTGCTAAAACAGATGAGTGATTTGCCTAAGGTAACACAGCTAAAAATAGCACACAGGGGGGTACTTTTGTTCCTGAATCTCCCAACTGTCTCCTTTACAGAACTGTCTTGTAGACAAGTAAAAAATTTTATTTATTTATTTATTTTTCATTAGGCAAGTGTTAGAGATTCAGGGCCTTAGAGAAGTGGTTTATTATAATGATGGTGAAACCTTCTGAAAATGGAGCTGAAGGGAAAATATATCCACAAAAGCCTTTGTAAAATAGAAGTGAAAGAGGAAATTTAAGGACTAGACTTAATCCTAGAAGATAGGCATTATGTTCGCCTTGATAGGTCCATGAGTGTTTGGAGTTCATCTAGCCCTTTAAAGAAATCACGTTTTAAGAGATTGCTTGGAATATTCCTAAGTTAAAGAATCTGCTTCTAAGTCAACCTTCTGCTGGTTCTAAAAACATGTGGAATTTACTCTTTGTGCATCTGTTAAAGCTAGTGTGATAGAGAATTTGAAATGCAGAGGATAAATAGCTGTTTTGGTTACTTAAAAGTTAACATTTAGGGGAAGTGATATTATCTCACTTTTTCAGGCACCTAAACTGTAGGGTTTCTGTTCGCTTTAGTTTTTCAGGGGACTTAGCACAGAAAGTATCTGTTAAACACTTTAATTGGATTTGTGCTGTGCGGAGGCAGACTACTGTGGTCTCCTAATTAGATAAAAGGAGATTATGTGTCTTGCTATCTTCTCCAAAGGAGGCTTCTTTCATGCCCTGTGTCAGTCAGTCAGTGTCTTGGAAATTTATAGCCCTAAGCTCCTGACCACGGTGTGTATACACACTTAAAACTGGGGTTAATTCAGAGATAGAAATTGTGATGAAAACCCTTCTGACATTTCATCCAGATATGAATCTGGAAGACTTACCTTTTCTTTGCAGTTGAGTTTGAAATATTAGAGAATATTTATATTTCATGTGGATTCCTACAAAGCCATGCAAGTGTAGTACTTGAAGTCTTGGAGGATAGTGGGGGGTAGCAGTGGTCTCCTGTTTTTTTTTTTTTTAGAGAAAGAGAATTTTGTAATATTTATTTATTTTAGTTTTCATGGACACTACATCTTTATTTTTATATGGTGCTGAGGATCTAACCCAGCGCCCCACGCATGCCAGGCAAGTGCGCTACCGCTTGAGCCACATCCCCAGCCCCAATATTTATTTATTTATTTTAGTTTTTAGATGGACACAATATCTTTATTTTATTTTTATGTGGTGCTGAGGTCCTATTTTTTTAAGACTTGAATTTCTTTTTTGTTTTCGAAATAGAATTAAAGTGGAAAATATACTTTTTTTTTTTCTTTTTCTTTTGACTGAAGCTGAGAATTGAACCCACATCCCTACATACATTTTCTGCCTGGAAAATCTATTTTGGTCTTAAACTCATACCCATAGTATAGAAGGCCTCGGGAAAATAAAAATAAGATTTAGACTGTATTTTTAAAAGTGGATTGTTCTGAGGCTCTCCAAGATCTGCCATATTTAGCTTAAAGTGAAAATTGTCATCTGATGATTTCATCTTCCAAGATGTGTGTCTATCTTTTGAGGTACTCTCTTGGTTCACTTTGTATTGTCATACTGGAATACCGGAGACCGGATAATTTATAACAAGCAGAAATTTATTTGACTCACAATTCTGAAGGCTGTCAAGTCCCAAGAACACGGTGCTGGCCTCCGATGAGGACCTCTGAGCCATGTCAGCCCATGGCAGCAGGAGGAAAGGCAAGCGAGATGAGACTAAGTGGGCCGGATTCACTTTTATAACGAGCCCACTTTCACGATAACCGTGCCCCCCTGAGACGGTGATGTTAATTCACTGAAGAGGTCAGGCCCTCGTGACCCAGTTACTGCTATGGGGCCCCACCTCCCACCGCTGTTTTATTGGGGTCATTTTGCAACCCGTGAGCTTTGAGGACACAGTGAAGCCCTAGGAGGTACTGTGGGATACTTTGACCTAATCTTCAAGAAAAATCATCTCTCTTCTCTTACAGCTAAAAATCGGCTTTCAGTATCTTTTACTCTTCCTGCCTTCAGGTTCCAGGGACTCAGTTGACAAAGCATCTCGTCTCCTTCTCCCTTTGGTCATTCCCATTGGCCTAGTTCAGGACCCCAGGAACTTGATCATCGAAATCCAAACTGGCTTCCCTACCTCTAATACATTTCCAGGGTTTTTTTTTTTTCTTTTTTTAAAATTTTGATTTGTTATATACGACAGCAGAATCATTACAATTCCTGTTACACATTTGGAGCACAATTTTTCATATCTCTGGTTGGACACAAAATAAAGTCACATCCTTCCTGTCTTCATACACGTACTTAGGGTAACGATGACCATCTCATTCTACCCTTTTTCCTACCCCCATACCCACTCCCCTCCTCTCCCCTCCCTCCTTTTTGCCCTATCTAGAGTTCGTCGAATCCTCCTATGTCCCCTGCCCCAAACCCCATAATGAATCAGCATCCTTAAATCACAGAAAACATTTGACATTTGGTCTTTGGGGCATTTCCAGGGTTTCTGCTGACTCTCTGGAATACAGATCTCTTCTTCTTCCCCTTGTCATACAATGCTTGATGGTTCTCAAATCCCTCAGCAGAGATTCAGCCTTTTCTTACTGTACTTTTTTTCCCACAGAATCTTTTATTCCCTGGTGCTGCTGTCAGTTGTTAAATGTGCCAGAAATGTTCCCACCTTGTTAACCTTGCCAAGCTGTCCTCTATGTCACACCGCATTCGCTCCATGTGGGTAAAGACCATCCTTTTCTAAGTCTAACTTAGGTCCCCCTCCGTGTTTCTTATCTACAGATCGTTCTCTTTCATCTTGGCATCCTGTGAATCTTGCCTTTATTGGTGCTCAGAAGATGTCCATTGAATTGAATTTATTGCTGCTTCTTTTTTTTAAAAAAATACATTTTTTAATTGTGGATGGTCACAGTACCTTTATTTATTCTTTCTTTATGTGGTGCTGAGGATCAAACTCTGTGCCTCACCCATGCTAGGCAAGTGCTCTACCACTGAGCCACAACCACAGCCCCTATTACTTATTCTTTTAAGGGTGTGTGTGCGTGTGAGAGATAGACCGACAGATAGACAGAACAAGAAAGAGTACAAGCCTAAGCACAGTTCCTTTCTGCAAGGTTACAATGCAGAGAGCATTGTGGGAAGATGAAAATAAAGCTCAGCAATATCCAGACTGTGGAAAATCCTGTAGGCAATTGACCTGATTTTGTCAATGAATAAATTGACAAAAGAGCATCAGATGGAAAAGGGAACCTAGAGATTAAAACAATTTAAGAAGAATATTAACCAGTTGTGATGTATAGGCTTTATATGGATACTGATTCAGCAAACAGTAAAAAAAAAAAAAAAAAAAAACGAGGAAATTTGAGTAGAGATAATTCATGTTTTAAAATTATTGCTCATTTTTATAGGTAGAATACTTTTGTGATTATGCTTTAAAATATCCTTATTAAAAAATAACCTCTGTTTAAGAACTCACTATAGTTTGGATCTTTATTTTTTGCAATGATGCTATATTGCCCAGGCTGGTCTTGAACTCCTTCCCAACCCAGTCTCCTGAGTAGCTGGGACTGCAGGCATATGCCACTGTTCCTACTCAGTTTGGATCCTGAGTGTCCCCAAAGGCCCATACGTTAAAGGCTTTGTCCCCAGGGTGCTGATAGGATATTGAAATGTGGTGGAAATTTGAAGAAGCTGGACTTATGGGGATCTTAATTCATTGGGTGTATGCCCTTCAAAGAAATTGTGAGACTTCCCCAGCCGCCTCCTTGTTTTCTTCGGTTTTTGGCCACAAGGGAGTAGTTTTATTCCTCCATGTGCTCCTGCCAAAATGTGCCGGCTTGGCACAAGGTCCAAAAACAAGGGGGCCACCAATCATGGACTAAAACATCCAAAACTGTGAGCCCAAATAAACCTTTTCTCTGTGTCGACTTTCGTAGATATTTTGTTACAGTGACAGAGAGCTGCCTAACGCAGAGCTATGTATGGAAGTAGTTGTGGCTGATGGGATGTAATGTCCAGGATTCACTTCAGCCTGGTGGGAGTGGGGGCAGAGAGAGCAGGTGGGTGTGGAGAAGAGACAAGTTGATAATTGATGAAGCTGGATGATGGGTGAATCGGGACGCATTCATTTTTCACTACTTCTGCCGGTGTTTGGAAATTTCTGTAATAAAATGTAAAACATGAAATAAGGGATGGAACATGGGTCTTGTTTTAAAAAATATGAAAACTTGACACCGGAATTGGGGAGGCTCAGGTCCTATCCGGGGTGCTGTCTGCTTACATGTATGACTCGGAGGCCCTCCTTCAACATTTCTGGGCCTCTCTGACTGTCCTGAGTAAATGAGGAGAGGGTTGGGTGGGGTCCGCACGGTGGGTGGTTACCTGGAGAACTGGACTTCTGAGAAAGACTTGGGGTGTGGGCTCAGGGAGAGAGATTTCAGAATCAGGAAGCCACGTCTGTGAAGCATGGTTTCGTTCAAGCTGTGTGTTTATCAGATCAGAGGAGTTATAAGCCCCTGGGAAACTGGCATCATTCTGCAGAACATTGGAGTTGGT